CTTTGTAGTTTTACACAGGATCTCTCTTTTCTTTCTGTCTCTCTCTCTCTTTCTTTCTCCCCCCCCCCCTTTTTTAATGTGGGCTTCAGCAATCGAACTCAAGTCCTTGTGTTTGTAAGGCAAACACGTTATTCACTGATCTAACTTCCTAGCCCCTTGGCCTCAGCTCTTGCCAGGCACTTTGAGGGGAGAGCCCTAACTGTGAACTCTCCACCAGTGCTGTATGTGCCATTATCAAGGAGCTTTGAAAGCACCCCCGTCCACTCTGATTTCCATGTAATTTCGGGTTAAACTGTTCTATGGAGAAAGTCAGACACTGTAATTTCAGACGTTTCCCAGAGGTCAGTCTTGAATCACTGAAATACCCCCAGGGTTGCCAACCCCAGCACTATGGGTATTTGGGCTAGGGAATTCTTGGCTGTGTGTGTGTGTGTGTGTGTGTGTGTGTGTCCTGTGCACTGTAGGACAGTGGGTGCAATTGTGGCCTCTATGCACTAGATGTCAGAAATGTCCCCTTCCTTAGTTGACTATCTAAAACCTCTCCAGATACTGTCCGGTATCCCCAGGGGGAGCACTGAGAAACAAGTCTGCATTTGGAAACTGACCTTGGAGTAGCTACTAAATCGGCTCCCTGGCTATCACCTGTGGAAGTCGTTGAAGACACAGGCTTCATAGATCACCATTTCTTCCAATTGCTCGTCTTACATGGAGTCTCAGACTCTGCATTTTGTGGTGGAAGTGTACTCATAACATGCCCATATGTAGTGGGTAGCTGTTCCAGCTTTGACCTGGAAGTACTACCCCTATTGAGGCTTCAGTAACTGTCATGCCTACAAGGCGGGGTATAGTGATATTTTATTTGTACTAAAATGTGATTTGTAAGTTAATAAATAAAGTTGCCTGGGGGTCAGAGTTATTAGAGCCATAGCAAAAGCTGGGCGGTGGTGGTGCACGCCTTTAATTCCAGCACTTGGTAGGCAGAGCTAGGTAGATCTCTGTGTGTTCAAGGATTCAGCCAGCATTGGAGACACATGCCTTTAATATCAATATCAACCATAGAAGACCTGGAGGTCTGTACAGACAGGCAGTGATGAGGCAGTCATGTGGTTGGGTTTACAACCAATGAGAAGGCAGAACAGAAAGTCTATATAAAGACAGACACACAGGAAGTAGGTCTCTTGGCTGAAGAGGCTAGCTGCAGCAGTGATGGGTAAGGCTCTTAGCTCTGACCTCTTGGGCTTTCATCTCTGCATTGGCTCTGTGTTTCTTATTTAGTAAGATGGTTACATCAACAGCGGGGCCAAGACAGGAGCCCTTAAGATTCGAGATCTGGATGTGCCGGCTCTCTTGGTTCCTGGATCCTGGACACTGGAGGTAGATTGAGCAGAGTTCTCCAGAGAACACTGCAGGACTGCGCTACACTTTTCCCGAACCCTGTAACCTATCCCTTTACTTGTAAGTTACCCCACAAAATAAACCTCCCTTTTAACTACGTGGAGTTACCTCAGTACTACAACCAATACCCATATGTGTGCATGCGGAGGTCAGAGGTCACATTGGGATCCTCATGTCTGTGTGCTGCCGTGCCCAACCTTTTCCATGGGTGCTGGATCAGAACTCTGGTGCACTGAGCACCGCCCCACCCCCACATACAAATAGACCCTGCATTTTTCACCAGCTCCTTGGTAGGTTCTAGGACTTCAACTACCACTGACCAATGGTGAGAGCAGTGGCCCTCACACCCCATCTCGTCAGTGAGCCCTTGCAGACAGAATAGCGCCCTCTAGACTCTACTTTCTGGTGTCAGGGTGCCAGCGATTAAGCACGTGTTACCTTGTAAGCGTTTGCTTCCGGTTCCTTCTCCTGGACTTCGGTTCTTAGTGGGACGCTCATTTGGTTGCCCATTGTTCCTCCAATAGAGAAAAAGGAGAAAGAAATCAAAACACAAACCTAAGTTTTAGCACCTATGTGTGAAGCCAAGCCTTAGAGACAGGTTCTTTGAGCTGGCTGTTATCTGAAACCAGGCTGCAGTTTTTTTCTCCACAGTGGAATTCTTGGAGAAAAAAAATCCTAATTTCTTGGGTATCATTTTAAAAAATATATATGAAAAAGATTTACTAATTTTTATTTTACATGTATGGGTGTTTTGCCAGCACACACAATGTCTGTGTGCCATGTGCATGCAGTGTCCTCTGGGGACAGAAAAGGGCTCAGGACCCTCTGAAACGGGAGTTACAGAGTTGTCAGCCACCATGCGGGTGCTGAGAATCGAACCCAGGTCCCTGGGAAGAGCCAAGAGAGGAACCTAGAGTCTCCAGAGCATCGTCATTGCTGACAGGGCAGGTTACAGCTCGGACAAGCAGCCATGAGAAAAGGATAGCAGGAGCAGCGTTGGCTGAGGGCTTTCGCCGTGGAGACACTGTCTAGGAGCTTTGCTCTGAGGAAAACTCATTGACTCCTTGTAACATATCAGCAGGACCTGGAGAATATTGTCCTGAGTGTGCAGATGGGGAAACTGAGGCATGTAGGTTGAATATCTTGGAAAAGGTCATATATAAATAAACACACACACACACACAAGACTACATTTATGCACAGGACACATAAATGGCTCTCCCCAAACTCCAAATTTAGCTTGTTACAACTTTCAACACTGTTATTTGACACCTCAACAATGGGGTCTGCAAACTTCCACCTCCGATTGTTCAATCCAAGTTAGATCTTATTTAGTGGCTACTTTGGGGGGCTTGTGAATGCATACCTGTTTGTGTGTGTGCAGGTGTGTAGATCAGAGGCCCACATCTGGGTGAGTTTCTCAATTGTCTTCACTTTATTTTTGAGACAGAGTCTTTCACTGAACTTGGAACTTCCCAGACCAGCTGGAACGGCCAACAGCCTTCCTGTGGCTGCTGCCCAGTGCCGGGATGGTGGGCATGTGCTCTCCAACAGGGCTTTTGGCTTGGGTGCGGGAATCTGAACTCAAATCCTCACGCTGTGTGCAAACCCTTGACCTACTGAGCCATCTCCCCAGCCCCTTGGCGACTACTTTCAATACGCATTTAAGGTCATGAAATACCTTGGTCTGGGAGATGTGTGATACCCACAGTCACGTGACATGCCTTTTCATCTTATAGAGCTGAGGTTCCCTGACCCTTTCACTGCATCCTCTAAACAGTCTTTCTGCAACTTCAGGACCAAGGGGAGTCAAGAGTAGGAAATGCAGGACCTGTGTTTTGCTGAGATCACCTGGAATCAGACAACACTGCTTTCTCCAGCAATCAATGTCCCCATCTAAAGCTGTTCTAACCTGTCCATCAACTGTTTTAAATGGCAGCATTGAAATGAAACCAAAGCAAAAGGTTTACTGCCACCTACTGGCAGATATAAGCATATCAGAAACAAATTCCTTGAGCCTTTGGGGCTAGGTTCAAAGGACCCAAGGTTGAAGGGAGCAAGCATGGTTGGAAACGAACATGTACTAACGGTTGGCAGGAGGGTGGCAAGGCTTCCAGGGCCCAGCAGTGCTGTGACTAACAAAGCAAGAATGACAGGCGTGCCTCCCGGGTCCGGAGAGCTCACTCCGAGGCTGCAGATAGCTCTAGGTGAATGCAGCGGAACACGGGATTGCGAAGTGGGCTCTAGAGTTTACACGCTGCTCCTGCTCCCCACACACTGAGAAACTTGACTCTGGACCAATTCCTAAGGCTGCAGGAGCCCCAGTATCCACATCTACCTGAGGAGGATAATGAAGTCTTTTACTGGGATGTGCCTGATGGCTATGGAATGCTTTCTTTTCTTCCGCTATTTTTTATGTGTGTGAGTGTTTTGTTCACATGTATGTATGTGCACCCTGTGTATGCCTGGTGCACAAGGAGAGCAGCAGAGAGTATTGAACCCCTTGGAACTGAGGTTATGGACAGTTGTGAGCTGCCATGTGGGAACTGGGAACCAAACCTGGGTCTTCTACAAGAAGCAGCAAGTGCTCTTAACTGCTGAGTAACCGCTCCATCTCTAAACACTTTTAAATGCGTATTCAGGTTTCTTCTTTGGAAAACATTCTATTTGTCTCACTAGCTCATTTATAGATTGTCAGTATTTTTATGTGTGAGTCTTTTTCTTGATGTTTAATTTGTGCAAAAAAAATTTTTTTTTTAGAGACAGGGTCCCTCTGTGTAGCCTTAGAGTCTGTCCTGGAACTCAGGCTGTCTCTGTAGCCCAAGCTGGCCTCGAACTCACAGAGATCCTCCTGTGTCTGCCTCCTGAGTGCTGGGATTAAAGGTGTGCGCCACCACCGCCTGGTGCAAATTTTTATATATTCTGGATATTAACCATCTGTCTGGGTATAGCTGGTAAAGGTTTTTGTTCCATTCCGTAGAGGCTGTCTGTGTGCTCTGATGATGGTTCCCTTGGGTAAGCAGTGACTTTTAAACTTCATGTAGTCTTATTTGGTAATTCCTGGGGCTGTTCCCTGGGCTACTGGAGCCTAGTTCAGGAAGTTCTTGCCTATAGCATAGAAGTAGACAGGGAGCTACTGGGAGCAGAAGCATTTGAGGGGTAACAGGACTGGGGGGGGGAGAAGGCAGGGGAATTAACAACAAAAAACCCAGTTGTTTGATGATGTCATACGGAAATTTAAAGTGGAATTAATTAATTAAGGACATTAGGCCCCATCTCAAGTGATTACTGTGAGAATTAAGTGAGTTAATATATTCCAGGTGCTCCACACAGGGCCTGGCACATGATGGTGCCACTCAAATGCTAGCTACAAACTGGATCATCTTTGTTATTGTCCTTGCCAGTTCCGGTCAGTGTCCCTCAGAGTTCCCTAGTGATGAGACTCCACTGAGGAATCTGTTTGGCTCCCAATCATGTGACCCGTGAAAAGATAAGTATCTGTCATCAAGGCTCCTCACTCCTATCTGGGGTATTTTTGTTTTTGCAGCCTGAGCAGACTAAAGGGCTTGGGGGATGGCTCTGGAGGTAAAATGCTTGCCACACAGGCCTGAGGTTAACCTCCAGTGCTTCCAAATGTAGCCAGCTGCAGTGGTGTGCACCCCTAATTCCAGCACCGAGGACAAAGAGAAGGACATATACCTGGGCACATATCCCAGCACTGAGGACGGAGAGAAAGGCATATACCTGTGCTCACCGATCAGCCAGTCTAGCCAGCTTTGTGAGCTCCAGACCAGTGAGAGACCCTGTCTCAAAAAACTCTCTCTCAGAGGACCTTGGTTCAATTCCTAGCACCCACATGGTGGCTCACAGCTGTCTATAACTCTAGTTCTAAGGGATCAAACACCCTTTTCTAGCCTCTGTGGGCACCAGACACACATGGTATACAGGAAAACAAAGCAAAGCAAAACAAAACAAAACAAAAACAAAACAAGATGCAGAGGATCTAAAAAATGACACTTAAGATTGGCCTCTGGTACACACACACACACACACACACACACACACACACACACACACACACACACACACATACACACACACACTCATAAAGGCTCCATGCAGGACTTGACCTCCACAGGACTCAGGTGCATAAATAAAAAATGTCAGTTATTCCCAATGTCACAAATATTGCTGGTGCATGCTAGTTGTCATGAATATCTGTTTCTCATCATGATGCCTTGAGCTCAGTCGCTCTGGGTTTGATTCATGCCAATGTGCCACTCTGAGTGCTGCTAAGGAGCACCTCTTATTGGACAGAGGGCTGTACCTTTGCCCCTCATTTCAGCTGTAGATTAGCAGTGACCCCTGCTCCTGGGATGGGGATAAATGTACACACCATTCAAGTCTGCCATAGCAAAAGAATATTTCTGAGAACTTCCTCCCAGCAGGCAGCTAAATGACTGCTGGGAGGGCCTGGAAGGGTGGAATGGTGACAGAATTAGTCACCCAGCAAACAAGAAATCACCTTTGATCAATGCAGTGGAATGCAGACAAACCACAAGCCACCCACCACTCCACGGAGAGTGCTGCCAACACGGCCAGGCTGGCATATTAGGCAGCACCAGGCTCTCCCCCATCCCCCAAAGCAAGGTCAGTATTGCTGGCGAATCATGAGAGTAGACCCACTGTGTCCAGCCCCCCCATCCAGATCTACCTTCCCGGGTGCCTGGCACAGTGCTGGGGTTCGGTGGCCACCCTCAGGGGACCATGCACAGTAGTGCAGGTTGCTTCCTGTACTCTTCCCCGCAGCCCTGCATGGGATGCCTGGAGTCCAGGGGAAGAGCTTCTTGCTGGGTGTCTAGGAATGTTTGGTGACACACTGTTGCTTTGCATATAGAGTGGCTCTAGAAGGTCGGTAGCTTACTGGCTCACTCTCTCCCCCTGTCTCTCTCTCTCCCCTCAGCATTGGGAATTTGAACCCAGGGCCTCAAGCATGTTAGGCAAGCTCTCTACCACTGAGCCACATCCTAGCCCCCAGTTTATTTTTAAGAGAGAGAATCTCACTAGGTTGCCCAGGCTACCCTTGGGATTATTCTGTAACCCAGACAGGCCTTGAACTTGCAACCCCACTGCACAGGGTTGGGTTGAAGTATGGAAGCCACTGTCCCTGGCAGGCATTGTGCAGGACACCAGCAGGAGCAGAGGGAGCGGGAGGGAGGTGGCCTCCTGAGAGCTGTCTGTCCCTCTCCCGTACCTCCAGAAGCAATCCAGCCAGGGTCAGCCTGGGCACACCCACTGCTTCCTAGAGTACATACCCTCCTCCTTAAAGAGAACACACCACCAGAAGCCTGGCTCCGAGGTGGTGCATGCCTGTAAACGCAGCACTCAGGGAGCTACAGCAGGAGGATTCCGAGTTTGGAACCAGCCTGGGCTTCATAGTGAGACTCTGCCAAAACACTCAAACCAGACCAGCTATGCTTCTGGAGGTTTCAGATTCTTTCATACAAATA